CTCTTTCGCCTGGAATCGGCCTCAAGGAAGTCTTTGATGTCTCTAATGCTGTTCACCGTATGGAAGAAGAGTCACGTCGTCGCCACGCACCGCAATTCTCAAATCTTCATCCTGTTGATGCCCTCAACACAACGAGCCGTCAGCGTCAGGCATTCATGTCCCAGTTGAAATGAGGAGGATGAAGAGGAGGAGCGGTCATCATATTCTGATACAACTGGCTCGATCTCGAGCGATGATGAGGCAGTCATTTCGAAATTGAATAACGCTCAGATCGATATTAATAATGTTCAAGAAGAATCGAATGTCAAGGAAAGAGTGGATGAACAAAAAGCTCAAGAACTGAAATTGCTACTCCAACAACAACAGCAAGAATATCAGAAGGCACAAGGTGAAATTGCAGCGGAACATCACCAAAAGTATTTGAAGCAACAGCAACAGGCAGGACACTCGATACCAGCTCAACAGCAACCACACGCCGTACGTGGCAATAACCAAGTTGGGCCAAGTGGATCAAAACCGCATCCTACTATTAGTAACTCGACCTCAACTTCAACCGCAAGCTCGGCCTCGACGACATCGACAACCCGTCGCCGTCGAGCTGGGTTTGAGTTAAATATCAACCATGCTACATTACTGAATCGTCGGGCGAAGCAGCAGCAACATCCTTCCATGATGCTGGATCAGCAACAGCAACAGGAATCTCCAGCCATGGCCATCTAGAGAACACAATATTACAATGTTTTCTATTACTATTGCTTCTTTTTTTTTATCCCATCTCCTTTTCTTTTTTTTTTTTTTGCTCAGTGATTGTTGCTCATTCCTATTCCTGTATCAATAGTTGTAATTATTAACCTCAAAAAGAACTAGCAAACAAAAAAAAAAAAAAAAAAAAAAAATTGACGATAATGATGATGATGAACATTGGCCATCTGTGATCAATTATAGTCAAGATAGAGTGAACAACGTGGGAAAATACTATTTTTGCATCTATACTCGAGTTTAATCGATAATAAATCGTTGCTATATGTTTTTATTAATGAGCAACTATTGATATGGCATCAAAATTGAGTGGGCAGATGGATGGATGGGCGAATCAATTGTGTTCGACAGGTAGTTACTCAATAGTCAAGATCTCGGTCTAGCGTTGCTGTTATTCTAGAAAGGGCGCTTCCGAAGATAAAACATTTGTACATGTACACAGGTCCTTCAAGAACAAACTTTCAAAAGGCTTATAAATGCTTATTTTAGTTTCCATTTCTGTTTGTCTGTCGCCCTTTCTGATTCAATGAAAGTGGATGCGAAGGGAAAGAGGAGAAAATCCATAAGGGGTTTATGTGGGCCCTGCGGAAGGAAAAAACAAAACAATTGCTCACGAGCGCATATTTCTCCAGAGAACAGACACGACTCCACATCCATACCTATTTACTATTTAAACCTTTTTCTTTGCTTGCACTTGTCCATCACTTCTTTTCACTCCCTATTCCCTACTCTTGTTCGCTCTAATACCTCCTCCCTCCCCTTCTGTGCCCATGACCTTGACTATTGTTCTTCAACAAGCACGCCGTGGTGTTGCAAAGGTATTCATTAAATTTTCTCCTTTAACGTTTGTTACATGTTTATTCCCACGGGTCAGATATCCACATTCTGTAACTTGTTTCGAAAAGTCTTTTCTTTTGGAAACAGAAAAGTAAGGGACAACACGGCGTCTGTGGAAAACCCTCATCTTCCTCATCAACCTACATTGTCAACAACAGAGCACAATTGACACTGAAAATAACTCATTCAACATTGGCCCATGAAGATGTCGTTTTTTCCTACACTTCTCATATTCCTCATGTTACACCTTTCGTGCACCACGCTGACGTTTTTTTTTTTTATTTTTTTATTTTTTATTTTTTTTTTTATTGAGTTTAGAAGGTGACCATTACTGCCTTCACTACCACAATCGGCCGCCAATTCTCTATATTCCGCCCCGTCTATAAGCAGGCAGCTGCTGATGATGAGCTGGTCGAGAACTTGAGCAAAGTTTATCCTTCAGCGGAGGAAGCTGTCAAGGATATCCCTTCAGGTTCGACTCTGATGGTTGGAGGATTCGGACTCTGCGGTATTCCAGAGAATTTGATCGCAGCATTGAAGAAGCGTGCTTCAGACTGTAAGGACTTGATTGTAGTTTCTAACAATGCTGGCGTGGATGATTTTGGATTGGGACAGCTCCTGCGTACCAAACAGGTATGAACTCGTATAAATATTTCAGCTACTACTTTTCCCCACAACAGTCTCGTAATGTGGAATGTGAAAACGATGTAAATGTCTCTGTAAAGTGAAATAATCTAACAGCATATCTGTACTCCGTATTCTGTCTTGTTCAATCATATCTTCGTATAGATCAAACGCATGATCAGCAGTTATGTAGGCGAGAACAAGGAGTTTGAGCGCCAGTACCTCTCTGGAGAGCTCGAGGTTGAGTTGACTCCTCAGGGTACTCTAGCAGAGCGTGTTCGTGCTGGCGGTGCTGGTATCCCAGCTTTCTTCACTCCTACTGCTTATGGAACTGAAGGTATGCACACAAGGTCAATCATCACTTTAGGGTTTTAGATGTATAGCGTTCTATCTTTGCTCGGTCGGGGCACTGCAGCATGAGAACACAATCTCTCTCTTTACCTTCACTTGACTGCACTGAGATTCATGAGAAATGATAATGGCTTTATTCATCAGACTTGCTTCAATAACTCATCTATCTGTTCTCTTTATTCTAACTTACGGGATTGGGACTCTAATAGTTCAAACTGGTGAGCTCACAATCAAGTATAGTCCGGATGGCAAGCCTTTGATCCGCAGCAAGCCTAGAGAAGTGCGCGAATTTAATGGCCGCAAGTATATTATGGAAGAGGCCATCGTTGGAGACTACTCATTGGTCAAAGCCTGGAAGGGTGATGCCTATGGAAACCTAATCTTTAAGGGATCTGCTATGAACTTCAATCCGGTCATGGCGAAGGGTTCCAAGAATTGCATTGCCGAGGTAAAAAAAAAAAAAAAAAAAAAAAAAAAAAACGGTCAGAGTAGATGGTACAATATGAACTTTACGAAGGACGACGCAAGCTGAGCAAATTATAACAGATGAGAATGGCCTTTCCTGTTGGTTATCAAACTAGGTCGAGGAAATCGTTCCCGTTGGTTCTCTCAGACCCGAGGACATTCACTTGCCTGGCATCTTCGTAAAGCGCATCATCCAGGGTAAGAACTATGAAAAGAGGATTGAACGTCTCACCTTGACTGAGGACAAACCTGTCGGCGTTACCAATACCTCTCCTGTGGTTGATGAAAGGGATGAAGCTGCTCGTCGTCGTGAGAAGATCGTTCGCCGTGCCGCTAAGGAGTTCAAGAACGGCATGTATGTCAACTTGGGTATTGGTATGCCCATGCTTGCGTCCAACTACCTCAAGAAGGGCGTTGCTGTCCACTTGCAAAGCGAGAACGGTATCCTTGGTTTTGGTCCCTTCCCCAAGCCTGGTGAACAGGATCCTGATCTGATCAACGCTGGAAAGGAAACTATCACACTTCTACCTGGCGCCTCACTCTTCTCAAGTGATGATTCGTTTGCAATGATTAGAGGATCACACGTAGATTTGACTATTTTGGGAGCATTGCAGGTGTCGGCCAAGGGTGATTTGGCCAACTGGATCATCCCCCGAAAGATGGTCAAAGGAATGGGAGGGGCCATGGATCTAGTCGCCAGTCCCGGTACCCGTGTTGTCGTGACGATGGAGCATCTGGCAAAGGGCGGCAAGCATAAGATCCTAGAAGAATGTACATTACCTCTGACTGGCGTTGGTTGTGTTGATAGAATTATCACAGACCTGTGTGTGTTTGATGTCAAGGATGGCAACCTTGTATTGACCGAGTTGATGGCGGATGTTTCATTGGACGATGTGAAGCGTGGAACAGGTGCCAAATTTACGATCTCCCCCGACCTCATCCAGAACTAGACAAATAGCATCCCACTCTCCTTTTGTAAAAAAATATAAACACAATTTATTATTATTCCAGGCTTGTAAGATGTTGAGACAACAGGATGAATTCTCCTGACCAATCAGGCCGTGCTGAGGACTATAAGGAAAAGAAAGGAAAAAAGGCTGTGCACTAAAAGAAAATAAGGCAAGCGTGCATCAAGGGGGAGCGCAACAGAACATAATGGAAACTTGATGGAACACAATCGAAAACAACAGAAAAAAGAATGTAGAATTTTGTGGACAGAGAGACCAATGTTTTAGAAGGAGATCGAAAAAAAAGTGTCTTCGCCCACTCATAAATTCTGACACTTCAACTGCTGGGAATAGATAAATAGCTTTTCTTCACTTCTCTTTTTTCATCACTTTTCTTTCCTTTCTTTTCCCTACCTTTTCTCGCAGACAGACTGCATTACACCCCACTCATCTCTCACGCTCTCATTCCACTTTGAAAGTGAAAAGGAATCATTTCTGCTCAATTCACACCCATAAACAACACAGTCAACTTTCATATATATAACCATGTCGACCGAAACATTTTCATTCCAGGTAGGACACCCACCTCCTTATTTACCATTGGCCTCAAGCCCTTGAGTGCTCGATAACAGTAAAAAGCAATGATGTGATTATTGATCCAGACCATTACTTTTCGCTTGTTAAATTATATAGGCTGAGATCTCTCAGTTGATGAGCCTGATCATCAACACTTTCTACTCGAACAAGGAGGTCTTTCTGCGTGAGCTGGTCTCGAACGCATCCGATGCCCTCGATAAGATCCGCTATGAAGCCTTGACTGACCCTTCCAAGCTTGATTCAGAGAAGGAGCTTTTCATTCGCATCACTCCTGACAAGGAGAACAAGATCCTCTCGATCCGCGATACTGGTATTGGTATGACCAAGGCTGATCTCGTCAACAACCTTGGTACTATCGCCAAGTCTGGTACTAAGGCTTTCATGGAGGCCCTTAGCAGTGGTGCCGATATCTCCATGATTGGTCAGTTCGGTGTCGGTTTCTACTCAGCCTACTTGGTGGCTGAGAAGGTCCAGGTCATCTCGAAGCATAATGATGACGAGCAATACATTTGGGAGTCGGCTGCCGGCGGTTCCTTCACCATCACCCGTGACACTGTCAATCCTCCTCTTGGTCGCGGTACAGAGATGCGTCTCTTCATGAAGGAGGATCAGCTCGAGTACCTCGAGGAGAAGAGGATTAAAGAGATTATCAAGAAACACTCCGAGTTTATCGGATATCCAATTCAACTTGCTGTTGAGAAGGAAACCGAGAAGGAGGTTGAGGACGATGAAGAAGAGGAGGTCAAGGAGAGCGATTCTAAAATCGAGGAGATTGAAGACGAAGATGAGAAGAAGGAAAAGAAGAAGAAGACTATCAAGGAGAAGAAGATTGAGAATGAGGAGCTCAACAAGACCAAACCCCTCTGGACCCGCAATCCCGAGGATATCACCAACGAGGAGTATGCCACCTTCTACAAGTCATTAACAAATGACTGGGCCGATCATATGGCTGTCAAGCACTTTGCCATTGAAGGTCAGCTCGAGTTCCGTGCCATTTTGTTCGTCCCCAGCCGTGCTCCTTTTGACATGTTCGAGACCAAGAAGAAGCGCAACAACATTAAGCTGTACGTCCGCCGTGTCTTCATTATGGATGATTGCGAGGACCTTATCCCTGAGTGGCTGAACTTTATTAAGGGTATCGTGGACTCTGAGGATCTGCCCCTGAATATTTCCCGTGAGATGCTTCAGCAGAACAAGATTCTCAAGGTCATCCGCAAGAATCTTGTTAAGAAATGTCTCGAGATGTTTGCTGAGATTGCTGAGGATAAGGAGCAGTTTGCTAAATTCTACGAAGCCTTCTCTAAGAACATCAAGTTGGGCATCCATGAGGACTCTCAGAACCGTGCTAAGCTCGCTGATTTGCTCCGTTATCACTCCACAAAGTCGAGCGACGAGATGACATCACTCAAGGACTATGTCACTCGCATGCCCGAGAAGCAGAAGAATATTTACTACATCACTGGTGAGTCTCGCACTGCTGTTGAGAACTCACCTTTCATTGAGGTCTTGAAAAAGAAAGGCTTTGAGGTCCTCTTCATGGTCGACCCTATTGATGAGTACGCTGTAACCCAACTTAAGGAATACGATGGCAAGAAGCTGGTTTCTGTCACTAAGGAAGGACTTGAGCTTGAGGAGGATGAGGAGGAGAAGAAGGCTCGCGAAGCCGAAGAGAAGTCGTACGAAGGTCTCTGCACACAAATCAAGGAGATCTTGGGTGACAGAGTTGAGAAGGTCTTGATTTCCAACCGCATCTCTGAATCACCTTGCGTTCTCGTCACTGGTGCTTTCGGTTGGTCCTCAAACATGGAGCGTATCATGAAGGCCCAAGCTCTCCGTGACTCCTCTATGTCTTCCTATATGGCTTCCAAGAAGTCTTTGGAGCTGAATCCCAAGAATTCGATTATTAAGACTCTTAAGGCCAAAGTCGATGCCGACAAGAATGACAAGACCGTCAAGGATTTAACCTTGTTGATGTACGATGTTGCCCTCATTGTTTCTGGCTTCAGTATCGATAAGACTGATGTCTTTGCAGACAGAATCAACCGAATGATCAAGCTGGGCTTGGCTATTGATGATGATGAGGAAGAGGCTTCTACTGCAGATATGCCAGCTCTTGAGTCTCAAGATGTTGTAGAGGCTTCCGAGATGGAGGAGGTTGATTAAACAGCGGCCTATTAGAATTTTAATCATTAGTTTCATGTTCATAGTATCATTGCATGGCGGTTGTAATTAGTTCTTTATTTTTTTTCCTATTCGCCAAAATAAATGCAGTCTGATCATCTCTATTACTGTATATTTGCATTTGTATATATATATGTATATTTGGTGACAGGCTTCGGGGATTGAAATACAAATGAAAATCAACATCCAGCCATAGGGACAACTCTACATGAACGTGTGTCATTTTGCTAGCTTTGCTTTTTCTGATCCTTCAGCTTTCAGCAGCTTTCCAAGATGTAATGGAGAAAACCTTGTCTAAAGGACAAGAAATGTGACATTAGTACATGTAAAATGAAATTGTATCTGCATCCCATTTCATCGTAAAAGAGGAGATATGCTTCGCCTTTAGAAGAGCCCTTTCGATCCAAGCTATTTCACGGATCAGCATTAAGTTGGTTTGTTGGAGCATGATCATTGGTGACTTTCTTTTTTTACTTGAGCGAAAATTGTCCCCCAGATCGCAGTATTGCCATTGGATGCTTTATTTTTTTTTTATTTTCTTTCAAGGTTGGATACGTGTAACATTCTGGAGGCTTTCTTTGCAGTGATAAATTGCATGTTGACACGTCAACAGTGCTATGTAGTAGCCAATCAGGTGTTGCCATATCAGGTCTCCCTGTTTCTTGAATTTATTTCTGTATTGGACTGTGTTCTATGGCCTTCTGTGTCCCAGAGCACGTACAAAAAAGCTTAAACGCGCTTTGTTTGCTGGCAAAGCCTGGCTTTCTTCCTTCTCTGGTTACAACAAACCAGCCTATATATATTCTCCCTTCTCTCTCTTTTTCTTTCTTTCTTTTTTTTTTTTCCTCATCATCAGTCTCCACCACTTCTGTTCTTTCCCTCCTTTCTTCACCTCATCTTCCATCCTCATCTCTTACGACTCCAACTCATGTCAAAGTTCATCAAGAGCGTTCTCGCTCTGGTCACTGTGGCATTGGTCTGCATGGTCGCTATTACGACCGTCAAAGCCGATGCTGACGAGACCCGCGAGTCCTATGGCACTGTCATTGGTATCGGTAAGTCAATATACTATCTCTCACACACTTTTACCCGTGTGATCATGCAAAAAAAGTCTGTACAAAGCTGTCTTGAACAGATCCAGCGTGTATTATAAAGAAAGAAAAATGAAGGCGATCAACTACCGCAATAATATCGAGGACAGATTCGTGGAGAAGCCCTTCTCATAGGAGCAGTAGCAGCAAGATCAGTTACATATTTTTCCCTTTTTTACTATGATCTGATACTCAGTGGCTATGGAGTGGGTTAAAGAGCGCAGAGCAACTATTCTGCAAATGCCTCGATTGCGTTCATTTTCAATCTCCCCCTTCCTTGAATCGAAAATTCATCACTAACAACCGCCTCTCTTGTTTTTGCCTGTCGCTTGTTTTTTATAATTAACCAAATAGATCTTGGAACCACCTACTCCTGTGTCGGCGTCTACAAGAATGGACGCGTTGAAATTATCGCCAATGATCAAGGTCATCGTATCACTCCCTCCTATGTCGCATTCACTGAGGACGAGCGTCTTGTCGGAGATGCCGCCAAGAATCAGTACGCTGCCAACCCCACCAACACAATTTTTGATGCCAAACGTCTGATTGGTCGCCGTTTCGATGATAAGGATGTCCAGAATGATATTAAGCACTTCCCATTCAAAGTCAAGAGCAAAGGTGGCGCTCCTGTCATCCAGGTCGAGGTCAAAGGAGAGCCAAAGACCTTCACGCCTGAGGAGATTTCCGCTATGGTTTTGGGCAAGATGAAGGAGATTGCCGAAGCCTTCCTTTCCAAGAAGGTTACCCACGCCGTCGTCACTGTCCCCGCCTACTTCAACGACGCTCAGCGTCAGGCTACTAAGGATGCCGGTGCTATTGCTGGCTTGAACGTCCTCCGTATTGTCAACGAACCCACCGCCGCCGCAATCGCTTACGGTTTGGACAAGAAGGATGGTGAGCGCACTATTCTCGTCTATGATCTTGGTGGTGGTACTTTTGATGTCTCTCTTTTGTCGATCGACGACGGTGTCTTTGAAGTTCTCGCCACGTCTGGTGACACTCACTTGGGAGGAGAGGATTTCGACCAGCGTGTTATTGATCACTTTGTCAAGCAATACAAGAAGAAGAACGGCAAGGATATCACCAAGGATCTCAAGACCATGGGCAAGCTCAAGCGTGAGGTTGAGAAGGCCAAGCGCACTCTTTCTTCCCAGATGTCTGTCCGTATTGAGATTGATTCTTTCCATGAAGGTAATGACTTTTCCGAGACCTTGACCCGCGCCAAGTTTGAGGAGCTCAACATGGATTTGTTCAAGAACACAATCAAGCCTGTCGAGCAAGTCCTCAAGGATGCCGGCCTCGAAAAGAGCGATATTCATGACATTGTCCTCGTTGGTGGTTCTACTCGTATCCCCAAGGTCATCTCTCTTATTGAGGACTTCTTTGGTGGTAAGAAGGCATCCAAGGGTATTAATCCTGATGAAGCTGTCGCTTATGGTGCCGCTGTTCAGGGTGGTGTCCTCTCTGGTGAGTCTGCCGCTGATTCCGTCCTTCTTTTGGATGTCAACCCGTTGACCCTCGGAATTGAAACCACTGGAGGTGTTATGACCAAGCTTATTCCCCGCAACACTGGTATCCCTACCAAGAAGTCTCAAATTTTCTCTACCGCCGCCGACAATCAGCAGACTGTTTTGATTCAGGTCTTTGAGGGAGAGCGTGGTATGACTAAGGACAATAACCAGCTCGGCAAGTTTGAGCTGACCAACATTCCCCCAGCTCCTCGTGGTGTTCCTCAGATCGAGGTCACTTTTGAGATTGATGCCAACGGTATCTTGCGTGTCTCTGCCTCTGACAAGGGCACTGGCAAGACTGAGAGCATCACCATCACTAACGACAAGGGCCGCCTTTCTGACGAGGAAATTGAACGCATGATCAAGGAGGCTGAGCAGTTTGCCAGCGAGGATCAGGCAATCAAGGAACGTGTTGAAGCCAAGAACGTTCTCGAGAACTACCTTTACTCTGTCAAGAACCAGGTCACTGATGACTCTCAGTTGGGAGCTAAGATTGACGCTGATGATAAGAAGACCATCTTGGATGCCATTGCCACCAAGATCTCGTGGCTTGAGTCCGAGGGTGCCTCTGCCACTAAGGAGGAGCTTGATGAGAAGAAGGAGGAGATTGAGGCCATTGTTAACCCCATCACCTCTAAGCTCTACGGCTCCTCCGGCGGCTCCGGCACTCCTCCTAGTGAGGAGATGCCTTCGCACGACGAGCTTTAAAAAAAATGCATTCTCTCCCCTCGGGCAGATTCTTTTTTCTTTATCGTAAAATAATATTTTTGCCAGCTCATTCTTTTTTTTTTCTGCTTGTACAGTAATCAAATCCCCAATAAAGTAAAGAAAAAAAATCTTTTTGAAATAAACCATAGCCTTGAAACTACATGAAAAAGCCTAAGTCCACTTCCAGATCGACAGAACATTATAAATACATAAATACATTCATGTATATATATGTTTTTACTACATTTCTCTTACTGGAATCTGTTTCTGAACTAGAGGAGACTTTACAGGTACCTCTGTTCTGGTTGTTTTCTCCTTCGGTCACAGGCATCATGATGGCCCTCCCTGCTGTCCATAGACTAGCCAGCCATGACTGATCTCACGTCTTGCGGGTTGGTATGAAAATGATCATAATCAAGTATAGATTTACAAGTATACAAAACAAAATTCCCCTGTTTGCCGCGGGATCAGTAATCAAGCCAAACTGCTTATCTTGAATACGATTTAACGTGTTTGCTATTGGAGAAAGCGTAGTTTAATTATGTCTCATTAATGCATTTTCCTTTCTGTAAATGCTTGCATTTGAGCATTGAGCCAAAGAGCAGGTCTGCATTCTACCCACATGGTGCATCTTTCTTTCTTTCTTCTTTTTTTTTTTTGCATCCCTTTTCCATTCTTTTTTTTTTTAATCTTCTCTTCCATCGTCTTGAATTACAAAACTCGCCTACAACTTTCACATTTCCACATCTCCATACACACATATCTCAGTACTTGAAACAAAACATGGCACCAGTCCAGATCGGAACCGGTATCGGCATTGCCAACCTCCCCAACCAACGTCATAAAATTGTCGCCAAGAATGGTGCCAGCTTCACCTTGATGGTTTGCGGTACATGTCAAGATAACAATGATAAAACTTGTTTGCTGTTATCAAGGGCGGTGACTATGATATACATCAGTTCTCTAATAAGCTGTTGTGGCCTTCTAATCTGATTCTTAGGAGAGTCTGGTCTTGGTAAAACTACTTTTATCAATACTCTTTTCACCACCACAATTAAAACTCCCAAGACCTATAAGCGTCGTTTCAACAAGTCGACTGAAAAGACTGTCGAGATTGAGATCATTCGTGCTGGTAAATAGTCTTTTTTTTTTTCTTTTTTTTTTTTTGCTTGAAATTTGAGTTTGACTTCAGGATCAAAAGCATCGACGGGGGCATTGCAAAACACAGGACACAGCTCGACTTTAATTGGCATCAGTCGGGTTTGATACTCTTCCCCTCCAAAGAAAAAAAAAGGCTCCTCTCCTCTTACTACAGTATACGTTGACGCGTTCCTGTGGACCTTGTTTTTTTGCTTTTGGATTTTTATTCTTTTTTAGTTTCTTGAAGAGCATTTTTTATTAGTCCTTTTTTACTTGGTGCACCTGTTCAAATTTGTTAAATCCTCTATTTTTATATTTCAGTGATGGCTCACAAAGAGGAAAAAAAAAATCTCTTGTTGGTTGTCACTGGCTCTACTCAAATCTACTACTGCAAAAACGGCACTGGCTGACAAAGTAGAGCAAAAAGACAATATGCACTAGAAGATGTTTGGAGCCAATAATCCATTATCGTGCTTCCTATAATGATAATAAGCAACAACAATAACAAAAATAGGCAAGTAATACTCATGACATTTGCATTTTCTACTGTTATATTAGAGCTGGAAGAGAAGCAGTTCAATGTCAAATTGTCTGTAATCGACACTCCAGGATTTGGAGACTATACCAACAATCGTGATAGCTGGATGCCTATTGTAGATTTTATTGATGATCAACACGAGTCATACATGCGCCAGGAACAGCAGCCCAAGCGTCATGAGCTGAGCGACATGCGTGTTCATTGCTGTCTATACTTCATTCGACCCACCGGACATACCTTGAAACCTTTAGACATTGAAATAATGAAGCGTCTGGGAACACGTGTCAATCTCATCCCTGTCATTGCCAAAGCCGATACCTTGACACCTACTGACTTGCACAAGTTCAAGAAACGGGTACGATATTGTGTTCTTTCTAGATGATATACCTTTGTTCAGTTTAGAACTGAGAGTATTTACTAGACACTGTTAATGTCTTTCTTATCATTTAGATCTTGGAGGTCATCGCTGCTCAAAACATTTCTTGCTACACCTTCCCTCTCGAGAGCGATGATGAGGCCAGCACCAAGCGCAACATGAGCATTATGGTATTTAGGAGTTGAGCTCAACGTGAACCACTTATATTACAGTGAAAAAAAATAGTTGTATTGCTGACTAACCTCAGAATATGTCCTGTCGTTTTGTAGGCTGCTCTGCCTTTTTCCATCATTGGTAGTACTGAAGACGTTGTCACTATGGATGGTCGTACTGTAAAGGGTCGTCAGTACTCTTGGGGAGTTGCAGAAGGTATGATTTATGGATATACCAGGGGGAAGGCAGATTGTCTCGCATATTTTCTGATCCTAATATCATACCTTTAATATTCCTTCACTCAATAGTCGAGAATGAGGACCACTGCGATTTTAAAAAGTTGCGACAGCTACTTATCCGTACTAACATGTTGGATCTAATTAGTTCGACCGAGGAGGTTCACTATGAGAATTATCGTAATACTCAGATGGAAACTCGTAAAATTGGAGAGCCAAAGTATGATCATTATTTCTATTTTTTTTTTTTCTTTCTTTTTCATTATCTTTTGCTTGGATGAAGTGTCGAGAAAAAAGAAAAAGACTAATTTTTTTTTTTAGGGCCAAGACTGTGACCAATCCTAAGTGGAAAGAGGAGGAGGAGGCCCTCCGTAAGCGGTTCACAGAACAAGTCCGTCTGGAGGAAAATCGGTTCCGTTCGTGGGAACAACAGCTCATTGCTGAGCGTGACCGCCTCAACAAGGATTTAGAGGCCGAACACTCACACATCAAAGCCCTGGAAGCTGAGTTGGAGGCAATGCAAGCTGGTCTTTCTCCTAAGCGCAAGTAGACAGGGAGAAATTGTTATATCCTTTTTGCCCCCGTTTCTTAATGATATCCGATCCGTATAATTTATAAACAAAGTATATTCTATTCACCATAATCATGCACTTCTAATAAAAGTTTTTTTTAGGCACCTGCAGCTCAAAAAAGAGCTCTAATTATAAAAAAAAAAAAGATGGACCAGTCCCTGAATGGTGCAACGTTTTTTCTTTTTTGTAGAAACATGTCTCTTAACCAAACAAACAAACAAACAAACAAACAAGCATGTGGTTGACATGCAGTATCATCTTTTTTTCATCATCTGCTTCTGTTTTAGTTTCTTTGCTTAATTCTCTTACGAGAAGGGATGATAGAAGGATATAAAAATCTGTGTTGAACTTCAATTAGGCGTAGAAAAAGGAAAAGAAAAAAAGGAAAAGTACTTTAAAAGAATCTAGTGCTTTAGATATCCATATCTTGGGCAATGTCATCCTCATACTCGACATCATCATCTTCGACAGTGGCGTCCTGGTACTGCTGGTACTCAGAGACCAAGTCATTCATGTTAGATTCTATTTAATCACATTAAAGAAGAAAAAGAATTAATACATTGATTGATGTTCCTTCCACATTTTTTATGTTTATGTTTGTGTTACGTATAAAACCGTTTTGAGTAACGTACCAGCTTCAGTAAATTCCATCTCGTCCATGCCCTCGCCAGTGTACCAATGCAAGAAAGCCTTGCGACGGAACATGGCAGTGAACTGCTCGGAAATACGCTTGAACAACTCCTGAATGGCAGTAGAGTTACCAATGAAGGTTACCGACATCTTGAGACCACGAGGAGGAATGTCGCAGACAGCGGTCTTGACATTATTAGGGATCCACTCAACAAAGTATGAGCTATTCTTGGACTGGACGTTAAGCATCTGTTCATCAACTTCCTTGGTCGACATACGTCCACGGAACATGGCAGCAACGGTCAAATAACGTCCGTGGCGGGGGTCAGAGGCAGCCATCATGTTCTTGGCATCGAACATCTGCTGGGTCAATTCGGGAACAGTCAAGGCACGGAATGACTGCGAGTTATTGGCAGTCAAGGGGGCGAAGCCAACCATGAAGAAGTGCAGACGAGGGAAGGGGACTAAGTATTTCAGTTAGACAACAGTTTAAGCCAGTCACTATTAGTAATTTCTCCCCATATTCTTATTCCTTGCCATTGGGGCCTCATCGATGCCCTGTAGATCCTCATTACTTTGTGTTTGCAATAATTAAAGCATGATACTTACCCAGGTTGACAGCCAGCTTTCTCAAATCAGCATTGAGCTGACCAGGGAAGCGGAGAGAGGTGGTGATACCACTCATGACAACAGAGACCAAATGGTTGAGATCGCCATAGCTGGGAGCAGTGAGTTTGAGAGTGCGGAAGCAGATATCATACAAAGCTTCGTTATCGATACAGAATGTCTCGTCAGAGTTCTCAACCAACTGGTGGACAGACAGGGTGGCGTTGTAGGGCTCGACGACTGTGTCAGAAACCTAGAAAATGTGAATAATTACGACATACATTTTTAGTTTGAGTTGGCGTGGAATCTGGTTGTCCCACTACATCTGATGAGTATTAGAAGATACATGGCAACTGTACAAAGAAAAATAAAATAAAAGATAACCAAATAACCAATACAAAGATTAGAGCACCAGGTGCCAAATAGGGTTCACCCTCCTCAAGTTAACTAGCGGGATACTTGGACTCATTCTCTTAATAAGAGCATAGGTAACACCAAGTTAAAGCAACTAACGACTAATGCAATGTAGTAGAGCACCATCTATGACTATGTTGCTTTACATGCAGGACGAAAAAGGACAAGTTTCTAGCCACTAAAGTCCTCAAAAGTTGAATGGTCCATCTCCAAAAAAAATAAAATAGCAATACCCAATAAGCTTCTAGAGTCACTCTCCAACTTTAGAAGCTCTCAACTGCATCCCTCCCTTCCCTCCCCTAATCTCCCACCTAAAAAAAAATATCGTTTACCAAGTCGGAGACAAAAATAAGAAGTAAAGGCAATCACACATCAAACTCGTATAAAGTAAGATATAAAAAAAAGACTTCCCACTCTGTTACTATTGGGTGTCCAGGGGTTTGAATATCATGCAAATCAGGAGACAGGTTAACCATAAAAAACTAAAAGCATACACGCCGAAATAAACCCAATCAAGTAAAAAAAAAAAAAAAAAAAAAAACTAATAGAAGAATGAAAGGATGCAAAATGATCGGGCGATTGTCTAGAGCGTCCACAAAGAAATTTGAAATGAGGAATCATTTACCTTAGGTGAAGGCATGACTGAGAATGTGCACATCATGCGATCAGGGTACTCCTCACGAATCTTCGAGATCAGAAGGGTACCCATACCGGCACCAGTGCCACCTCCAAGAGAGTGTGTGATTTGGAAACCCTGCAGGCAGTCGCAAGATTCAGCCTCCTTGCGGACAACATCAAGGACTGAGTCAACTAGCTCGGCACCCTCTGTATAGTGACCCTTGGCCCAGTTGTTACCTGCACCACTCTGACCAAAAATGTAGTTATCGGGGCGGAAAAGCTGACCAAAGGGACCGGCACGGACGGCATCGATGGTACCGGGCTCCAAGTCGACGAGAACAGCACGGGGGACGTACTTTCCACCAGTAGCCTCGTTGTAGTAGACATTGATGCGCTCGAGTTGAAGGTCAGAGTCGCCGTTGTAGACACCACTGGGGTCGATGCCATGTTCTTCACTGATAACCTCCCAGAACTTGCCTCCAATTTGGTTACCGCATTGACCGGTTTGCAAGTGCACAATCTCACGCATGATGAATTATAATGTAGTGTTGGATGAGAGGAGAAAGATGGATGATGGGGATGTAGAGGGTCAAAGTATAAAAAGTAAAAAAAAAAAAAAGATGATGAAGATTAGACAGAAAAAGCTCAACACGAAAAAAAAATACATAAACAACTGAGTAGAGAAGGTTCGCGCTGTAGTTTATACGATCATATTGGATACCACACGTGCTATGTATTGCGCACGTGCAAAGTGCTGTGTGTGTAACCAGCGCATCGTCAAAGAACCATAGAAGACACGGGTGAAGATCGTAAAGTCCCGATACCGACTAGATCTTCGAGTGTTCTTTATCATCTTACTAACGAGGTCATGGGCTAGTCAGATGCTCTCCAATGTTACAGTTTTAACGCCACATACAAGTCGATACCTCTTTTCTTTTTTCTTTTCTTTGCGCTTTTCCAATCCTACAGCTTGTCTTTCTAGATATCAATGACACACATCAGGAGTATACAGCTACCTGGATATGTGGGTATCTCAGACATTGTGTCAGGATGCCGCCAGTGAATAGGCTTGGAAAGTCCAATCGATGGGACCTGAAAAATAGAAATATTGAGGTCAGGAACGAGACGTGAAGGGCACAAATAGTCTAAAAATGTAAAAATACTTTACCCACATGCACTTCACCATTCTTTCTTTACTCTGTCTCGCCTCTTTTCGACTACTTCTTCACTCTCTTTTTTCTTCCTCCCTGTAACCTGGTAAGGACATGCTATTAATAACCTAGAACTTTTGGTGTCACATCTGGGGAAGACTTTCAGGATCTTTTTTGAAATATGAACAAAATCAATGTGAATTCTGACATGACCCTCAATTTCATTCAACATTTTCACCAAGCTATTGTAGTTGAATGAGATTCAGCATACATCATCAAACTAAAGAAAAAAAAAAAAAGACTTATTTCATACTACTCATGTCTGCTTTTGCATTAAGAGGCTGAATGGATATAACAGTAACGCTGATAGAATTCAGAGCTATGGGAAAATTTACTCTTTTGCGATCAGTATCTAGCCTTTAGAATCACAAAGCTTGTGCTATATTATCCACCATTTATTAAATCCATCGATATTATACAAGCAATCACATTAGGCTCATATAAACCATTCAGCCATGGTCTCGTCGATTATGTCGTCAAGCAGCTCGAACGAAGAATCCATTGAGCGTTACAAGCGCATCTTTAATCGGTTTGCGTCTGTTGAAAAGAATGGCGAAAAATTCATGACCAGCGATGATTTTGTCAACGCTATCGCCCCGGGCGAAGATTACAAGCGGTTGCAACGATCGCAATATGCCGTCCTGTTCAATGTGGCAGATCAATCTAGACATGGTCTCCTATCTTTGTCAGATTTGTAAGTTTCTCGGCATCTTTATCAATGGCATCAGCGGACACGTCATGATCAACCAAGAGAACTACTGCATTATTTAAAGGCTCAGAGTAAACAGGACCCTTCCATCGCTTATTAAGTTTGACATTAACCTGTCTTCGCATGAACACCAAGCAGCTAAAAAAAAAAAAAAAAAAAAAAAAAAAAGAACTACAACGGAGAAAGGAAACAGGAAACGAGCCAAACAACCTTGCATGTACGACAGAGCGTGTAGCAGCACCAGAAAGGCCTTCTTTTGTAACTTGAGAGAGCAAATCAAACTAAACTGTCTACGGTACTCACTGCAGTCGCGCTTGACAATGACGAACTGAGGGAAAAAGAGGAATAATAGCATTATGTGATGGAAATCATTGTCCGACTCTGTCATCATATCGTATATCCACTACTACTTTAACATGATGGTCACTAAAACGACTTCTCACACGCTTTATCTTGTTTAAAAAAAAAAAAAAAAAAAAAAAAAAAAGTGTTGTATTTGAAAACTTATTATCTCTACCGGATGCAGAATACGAAATCGCCTTTCGACTTTTTGATACTGCGGGTACCGGTGCCATCACACGAGATCAGTTCAAGCAAATCTTAACTGCCAATATTGGAAAGGATGCGATTCCTTTTGATTTCGATTGCGAATGGCTCCGGCTCTATGCAGGAAGCAAAGACAGCCCACATGATATGCCGTACAAGGAGTTTACGCAACTCTTAAAGGGCCTTCAAGCAGAACGTCTACGCCAGGAATTCCGATACTACGACAATGAAGAGACTGGCTATATCACACCCGATCAATTCAAGAAAGTGGTGATCGACATCGCTGGCCACAAACTCTCAGAACATGTTCTCGATAACCTTCCAACCTTATGCAATCTTTACTCAGGGAACAAGGTGTCGTTTGCAAACGTCATGGCCTTTTACAATGTAATTCGTGAAATGGACATGGTTGAGCGCGTGGTCCGCAAGGCGATCGAGAATAGTAAAGACGGCACTATCACTAAAGCTGATTTTCTGAATACCGCCTCAAAAGAGACGCGCTTCTCACTGTTTACACCTATGGAAGCCGACATCATCTTTCATTTTGCAGGGCTAGAAAACCCTTCAGGCAAATTGACGCTCAGGGACTTTTTCCGCTTATTGGAGGCAAAATGGGAACACGCACTTCCTGTTACCCATCCTTCCATCCCAGAACCTAAACACGGCGCTATTCACGAAATCCTTCTAGGCTCTTGTATGTGTTAACTTCGTTATTGCTATTCAAGAACCATATCTTGACTTACTTTGTCCATCAGGTCCTTAACTTATTTTATTTTGTTACTCTAATTCTAGATGCATTTTTGCTTGGATCTATCAGTGGTGCTGTAGGGGCAACCGTGGTTTACCCCATCGATCTCGTAAAAACACGAATGCAGAACCAGCGATCTAAGGTTGTTGGCGAACTTTTGTATAAGAACAGTATTGATTGCTTCAAGAAAGTCATCAAAAATGAAGGCGTTCTGGGATTGTACCGTGGTCTTGGGCCACAATTAGTTGTAAGTTTTTTTTTTTTTTTTTTTTTTTTTTTTTTACTTTTACACAATCATGAATAAGCCGGATTTCGTCTCATTACTCGCATTTTTTTGGATTATTGAAAATTATAGGGTGTGGCTCCAGAAAAGGCCATTAAGCTTACAATGAACGATCTTGTGCGAAAATTTCTTTCAGACAAGGATGGAAAGATTTCATTTACGGATGAGCTGATTGCTGGAGGTGTTGCAGGAGGTTCACAAGTGGTGTTCACAAATCCGTTGGAGATTGTCAAAATCCGTCTGCAGGTTGCAGGTGAGATGGTTAAGTCTATGGATCTTGGTACCCCTCGACCTGGTGCCATCACCATTGTACGAACACTAGGCCTTGTAGGACTTTACAAAGGCGCCAGCGCTTGCTTGCTCCGTGACATTCCTTTCTCTGCAATTTATTTCCCCGTGTATGCTCACTTGAAGAAAGACGTCTTCAAAGAAGGGCCTGATCACCGTCTGTCAATTGGAGAGTTGTTAACATCAGGCGCTGTTGCTGGTATGCCTGCTGCTTACTTCACAACGCCAGCGGATGTCATCAAAACGCGCTTGCAAGTCGAGGCCAAGAAGGGCCAAAGCACATACAATGGTATAATGGATGCAGCGCGCAAGATTTTCAGAGAAGAAGGCTTCCGTGCTTTCTTTAAAGGAGGGCCTGCACGAATCTTTCGCTCGTCACCTCAGTTTGGTACCACCTTGATGGTCTATGAAGTCCTTCAACGTGCATTCCCCTTTGGTGGAGAGAAGGAGGCGACACAGCAAGCTCTGACGCGGGTTGACTCTACGCATCCGGATGACCTGAGCTACTTGCAATCCAAGAACGCGCTTAAAATCCTTCTAGACGTTCACTACAAGTTTGGAATAGTACCCCCTAACACCAAAATTGCTGGTGCAACTAGTTCATAAAATACTTTTCACTCTTAAAAAAAAAGACACACCTGAAAAGCTTTTCAATCAAAAGGCAACGAGGCATGGACTTTATCCATCTACACAAACGGCTTTTTTTTTTTTTTTTTTTTTTTTTTTTTTAAAAAAAAAAAGTGTCATAGACCTATTCTACGTATACAAACTTATGCATTGCTTTCATGTCTGATTGGATTCGCGTACATGTCTTTTATTACTAATGGGGAAATACAAACTAGAATAAACCTCTACTATTTTCTTTCGCCCTCTAAGCAGCTTCCGGACTACTCTTATGCATACCCTTCACGAGATCTCTGATGCAAGCATTGTCTTTTGCTTCAACGATGGCTTCTTCTAGTTTGCCCAAGACTGCATCATAAGCATTAGTATTATTTTCCACGGAAGCGGCAAGACGCTTTGTTAGTGCTGCAATTGCTGCAAACTTGCGTTTCCTGGATATCATTGCCTGATCTTCCGAAGGAACAGCACTCGGAGGCATGAGCACACTTCCCGGATCACTCATGTATGCGATGGACGGTTTGCCGCTTGAAGACTTTCGTTGGACGGCAGCGATCTGATATACCCATGAATGGACAATACATTGAGGTCTATATTGTGCTGCATCCTCTCAGCGTCCGACTAGTCGCAGGCACGCTTTTGGGCATTATGGGTCTGTGGGAGTTGGATCTTGAGCGAATCTCTTGCATTTATAATAGGGGTTTCAAACTTAGACATTTTTTGGTTATTTGAGGGAAGCACATTTGTTTGAAACGTTCATCTATACATTCGAAATAGGTCAGCCTTCTGACAGGTGCATTTCAAATGTACTATAAAAATGAAATGGTGTATCGCGCTTTGGAGTATTTGCGTGATTGTCGTTTATGAAATGTGAAACCCCAAATGAAATGAGACTATTTTGGAAGCCATTGTTTCATTTCCTTCTCTCTGTGATCCTCTGAAAACGAAGCATATTTCTGTACTAGGCTTTGAATTAGACTTCTTTTTTTTTCATACCAGAGCACTTCGTTTCCATTACCCCAAAACGAGCCCATGCCATCCGATTAGCAAAGGCATCATGCTCGCGTCGTGGTTGTCAAAAAAAAAGTGCTTACGAATGTACTTTAGGAAGGCTTCGGCGCGTGATATCAGTGATGTTCGTTAAAGTTGCTCATGTGATTGTCATGCTTGTGGTTTCATTTTTCTAGGCCATGTGTGATGTTTGTCTTGTCTGTGGTTTTATTTATTCTCATAATGTTTCAACTGCTGCCCGTTTAAAGCACGCTCGTGATAAAGAAGTTCATGACAGGGTGAATATTGCGCAGTACCGCATAGTGAATATTGCGCAGTACCGCATAGTGAATATTGCGCACGCAGTAAACCTTCAACAACAATGATTGATGTTTGTCCTGCCCGTAGTTCTACTCCTTTTAGATTTGTTATGAGATTAGTGGTTGACCTCTGGTGGACGTATTGAATTATTACACACCTTTCTGACGTAATAAATAATAATTAGGTTTATAACAAAAAAAAATTTCTCTGATGCAACTCTTTGTTGACATTTTAATTCCACTTAACGCCATGGGTCATCTCATTACAGTTGCAACATGCTCGCTCAACCAGTGGGCTCTGGACTTCAAAGGAAACGTTGCTAGGATACTTGAAAGTATCCGGGTAGCAAAGGAGCGTGGCGCCACACTACGTATCGGCCCAGAGCTGGAGATCACGTAAGATATAAAGAAGAGTTAAGAAGTCGCGAAAAAAAAAAAAAAAAAAAAAAAAAAAAGGTGTAGGAAGAGAATGGAATTTGATCTCTTTGATCGAAATTAGGAGACTTAACTCTGTATCTTCTCTATCGATCGACATGGCGAAAATAGTGGGTACGGGTGTGCAGATCACTTCTTAGAAGGTAGGAATACAGGGATCAGATCGTGTATAAAAGCTGACAAGTAGTATGATCGGACGAAAGCTCACTAATTGCTTGGTATTTTCTAGGGGACACATATTTGCATTCATGGGAAGCCCTTGGTCAGATCTTGAGCTCTAAAGAAGCGAAAGAGATACTCTTGGATATCGGCATGTAAGGGTCGCGAACTCATCATTTCAAGCAAAAAAAAAAAAAAAAAAAAAAAAAAAAAAAAAAATCAATAGCAACATTCACATGAGAAGCAAGAAGTTGGACTATACATTAATTAGTAATCTGAACTTTTTTTTTTTTTTTTTTTTTTTTTTTTTTGTATTATATTCCGTATCAGGCCAGTTATTCATAAGAATGTAAAGTACAATTGCAGGATTCTCATCTTTAACTGTAAAATTCTGCTGATCAGACCCAAGATGTTTATGGCAAACGATGGAAACTACCGAGAGTTACGCTGGTTTACACCTTGGGCCAAACGCCACATCACTGAAGAGCACTATCTGCCTCGAATGATCCAAAAGATTACTGGCCAAGTCACCGTTCCAATGGGTGATGCTGTCATCGCAACGTACGATTCGTGTATTGGCGTAGAAGTGTGCGAGGAGATGTTCACCCCTAATAGGTATAATTTTTGATTGAAAAGTATAAGGTTGGAATGCACATTGCTTTTTTACAACACAGATAGGCTGACTCCAAAATCCTCGGATTTTAATAGCCCTCATATTGGACTCTCTCTGGATGGAGTCGAGATCATCATCAATAGTAGTAGCAGTCATCATGAGCTGCGTAAGCTACGTAGACGCATCGATCTTATTAGAGAAGCTACTTTAAAGGTATAGAAAATGACAGTGTACACATGAACATGCGATCACTGGCGCCGTTAAATTTATTGATTACTAAAATGCCTTTTATTCATTAGTGTGGAGGGATTTACCTGTATTCTAACCAACGGGGATGTGATGGTGACCGTATCTATTATGACGGATGTGCTATGATCATCGTCAATGGAGAAGTAGTTGCTCAAGGAACTCAGTTCTCAATTGGAGATGTAGAAGTCGTTACAGCTACAATTGATCTAGAGGATGTGCGCACCTTCAGATCCAGCTCTAGTAGGGGGATCCAAGCCTCCACCACCCCTAGCTTTAAGAGAATCGGAGCTAATATGGCATTATCCGACGGGCATCTTGAGGGTAACCCTGCCATTCAACCAACCACTGTTAAAACTATCTTTTATCACACTCCCGAAGAAGAGATTAGGTAAGTGATATGGCATAAAATTTACATGCAGAATATCGTTTGAGCCTTATTTTCCCTTAGACTAACAGCTTTTATTAATATATTACCTTCTTCTGTAATAGCTTGGGCCCTGCCTGTTGGTTATGGGATTATCTTCGCCGTTCCAAGGCCAGTGGGTTTTTCCTTCCGCTTAGTGGAGGCATCGACAGCTGTGCGACAGCTACTATTGTTGCATCCATGTGTCGCCTTGTTGTCAAGTCGTGCGCCAAAGGAGATCAACAAACGATTGCGGACGCAAGGCAGGTGACTGGGGAAAGTGCTGAGCACGGTTACATCCCCAAAGATCCTCAGGAGTTTGCAAGGTAAATATAAACGATTGAACTAGTGATTTCATCCTACCTTTTGAAAACTTTAACTTATCTCATTTTATTTATTTATTTATTTTTCCCTTTTTTAGTCGTATCTTCCATACTTGCTATATGGGAACGAAGAACTCATCCGATGAGACCAGAAAAAGAGCTAAACAGCTGGCTGAAACCATTGGGAGGTAATCATTCCCTGACTTTACTACTTTTCGATAAATGAATAATAATAATTTGAGACGAACTAAAAACGGATTATACTCTTTTGCCAAACAGCTACCATATAGATCTTAACATGGACACTGTCGTCACAGCGCTTCAGGTTCTCTTTACTCTAGTGACAGGCAAAACTCCTGCTTTCCGTGCACACGGTGGATCAAATGTCGAGAATCTAGCCCTGCAGAACATCCAGGCAAGAATCCGCATGGTCCTCGCCTATCTATTGGCACAGCTGTTACCGTGGGTTCGTGGTCGCAATGGATCCTTACTTGTACTTGGAAGTGCAAATGTGGATGAATGGTACAGTGAAACTGAAGAAAATCAGAGCAGAAAAGGACGAAAAAACGTCATAAAGATTAAGACAAGTTTTCTGCTCACTGCTGCTAACCAAATATTTATGGTATCTGTGGGTTTGGCTCCTAGCTTACGAGGTTACTTCACCAAATACGATTGCTCTAGTGCAGACATCAATCCCGTCGGTGGTATTGGCAAATCAGACTTGCGTCGGTTTATTGCCTATGCTGAACTGGCTTTCGAGATGCCCATTCTTGCAGAGTAAAAATTTCTTAAGTTGATGCAAAACCAATGTTCTATTTACAGCATCTCAACTCACATAGATTTTTTTTTTTCCTCAGTTTCTTGGCTGCAACCCCTACTGCAGAGCTAGAACCAATTACAGAGACTTATGCCCAGGAGGATGAAGCTGACATGGGTATGACTTATGATGAATTAACGGAATTTGGTCGTCTGCGCAAGGTGGACAAATGTGGACCATACAGTATGTTTACGAAGTTGGTGCATCTTTGGAACGATAAGATGGAAGTTGCCGAGGTATTACTTCTAGTGGCGGCCTTAATTTAACCTTCCTTGTTGGTATTTTATCTGATACTGAATTTACTAAATCTGGCCCTTTTTCTTCATCGAATCAGGTTGCAGCCAAAGTCAAGCGCTTTTTCTTCTACTATTCAATCAACCGCCATAAAATGACAACATTGACCCCAGCATACCATGCAGAGTCTTATAGCCCAGATGATAACCGATTCGATCTACGACCATTCCTATATAACACTTCATGGTCATGGCAATTTGATACGATTGACAAGACAGTTCGGGCGTTTGAACGAGAAAACAATTTAAAAAAGTAACAAATGGAATCATTCCATAATGTCTAGATGTTTAGAATGATTCATGCCTATTGAGTCTCAATAATAGATGTGATATCTATATCAGAGGTAAACCCACTCTTTTATGCTGTCTCGAGTTGGTTACGGATGGGTATGATGAAACAATAGCAAGTATAGAAAACTGCTACAATAAAACAATAAAACAAAAAGCTATAACTCTAAGTTGGTGTAAAGAATAAAACGCATACGAGCGTTTTACTTTGGCGGTGGTGTAGGAGGTAGCGGTGGAAGTTCTGTCAGCTGTGGAGAGTGAGCAGAAGAAGGAGAAACGGAGTGCTGTGGCAAAAGGGGTAATGGGCGCTGAGAAACGGATTCCAACGTTTCCTTCCCAGCTGTGGTATTTATCATGGGAGTCGAGTTACGACCGTCAGATGTCAGTTCTTCTTCATGACTTGATTCTGTCGACGATCTGGGCTCATTTGATCCAATCGAATTGCACTTCCTCCCAGTGATCTTTGATGGGAGTGAAGACAAATTTGATGCAACTGCTGATGCTGTAGCTGCAGCAACGTGAGCCAGATAGCCGCTCACGCCGATAGGCTCGATAGATACTTTGATGAACAATGTGCTATACAAATAAGGATCCCCTGAAGGGTCATGAAGCTGGATATGGCGGTAACCTTCTTGCAGGCAGTCCAATGAGATGCAATAAGACGCAATCAAATCAGAAAATTTGATGTCTTCATCTTGAACCACAAAGCGAAAGAATACAAGCTCATGATGCTCGTAATCGACACGGAACTTGAAGGTTTCTTGCCATACAGGATTGAAGCCATTATCACTCACATGACGTGTCTTGTACTTGACAGTTGGTTGCCCAGGGACTAATAGCTCTACCTCGCACAGAGGATCAATCACATCACCTGACTGTGCTTCATTAGGTCTTGGTAGTTGCTGAGCGGAGATCACCTAGATATTGCACAATGTATATCAGAAAAGACTGTTGCTACGAGATCAAATAGGGTGAACAACGCTCGCAGGAAAATACAAGGATTAAAGTTTACCTCCAGTGTAATTTCAACTGGATGTGACTTGACAAAGGTTGGGGCTTTATCGTGATTACAAATCTCTCCTGGACCAAGACGTAGTGGTGACGGCTTCAAAACATAACCGCAATGTCCATTCATAGTAAACATGGCGCTATTCATCTGCATTCCTCGGTCTTATAATAATATATGCGCAAACACAGTATATCCATACAAAAAAAAAAGAAAGAAGGAAAAAAAAATTAGATTGAAAAACCATAGAGTATATAATTTCTGAATATCTAACTTGATTAATAACTTACCATGGTTCTGATAATTCAATGCCACAACTTGAGCACCAGCAGCCCAGTGATGATGAGGGTCATAGTTTGTAGAATTGATCCTGAAGCCTGCTGGATAAACACGTGTCAAATGGGTCTTATTCATGTTGATATATTCCTGCAGTGACTGTTTGCAATGGCGCAAAGAGACCCGTTCTGAAAAGGATATGATCTTGAAAGGTGAACATCCTTCGTGTGTAAAGCCAGGGAAATGACGAGATTGACAATAAATCGAGATTTCGCTCAGTGCCTTAGCGATTCGGACCTTTTTCGTCTTTGTCTTTTTTTGCTTCACACCATCAGAGTCGCTCTCACTCTCTATTAAGAATATTACACAAATGAACTCAAATTAGACCTGGTATCTTTAAATGAGTTATATTCAACGCTACTTTTAAAAAAAAAAAAAAAAAAAAAAAAAAAAAAAAAACAAACAAACCTCGGTCAGACTCAGATTCTGTGTCAGTAGAGTATTCTTGGGTGATCGCATCTGGGGGCAGGACTTTGCTCTTTACAAGAATCTTAAATTTGAGCTCATCAGGACTCGGAAGGTTGACACCATTTGAATCTAGAGGTGCAACCACCAGCCAGCTTCCTAACTTAGTCTTCATGATGTTCGCCATTATATCTTGCTGTTCTAGATCGCAGTGGAGCTCAAGCGATAGAATTAGCGGATAAGGTGAATTGACGAAAGCATATGTTGAGATAGCTTCAATGACATCTCGAAATAGAATTTTTGAAGTGCTAATTTCAGCAACAAAATATAAATATTCTTGTGAGCCAACTTTCATAAAATCAGCAGAAAATACAAAATATGAGCCATTAGCCTTGTAAACATACAGTGTGCGGCCATGATAAATAACAGGCTGACCATCTGAACCATCCCAACAGTCCACTATTTATAAAAAAAATATAAAATATAAAATATAAAATAAAAAAAAATTAGTAGAATCGCTTAGATTCAGCAAGTAAACCGCTGCTTTATCTCGCTCCCTTTTTTTACTCATCCCTCTCAATATTCCTTACATTCGACACAACGACATCCGCTCTGTAAAGCCCTAATATAGCCTTCGATAGATGAAACTCCAGTTAATTGATGACCTAGTAAATATGTGTTATGAGAACTGCTGATATAATAACTCGATAGGGTCTGAGACATGTCTTGATGGACCTGAGCATGCTTGGGTGCAATGACAGGGTTGTCAGCTGAGACCAAAAAACTCGACAGTGAATCGACCGTGAACTTCTCAAGCGTCTTGTCAACGTGCTTTCCATAAATTTCTTTGATCTCATCTTCATTTAAATGGGATTTTTGGGTGTTGATAATGAAGTTGGTGAACTCATCGAGTGCCATTGAATCACTCTTGGTAATCGAGTTGAACAATGCACTGATCTCTCTGCGTTCTTTCAAGAGCTTTACAAAATGTGTGAAATCTGCAAAGTCCAGGTAGCCTTTCTTCTTTTCGTCCGCCTGATCAAAACGTACGCGAATTTCTTTTCTCGAAAAGTTAACATTTAGGCGGTGACACAGGCGAACGATCTCCTCATATCCCAGCTTCGAATCTACATTTTTATCTGCGTCCATCCAGTGTTCTTTCAGCCACTGGTTAGTCTTTCGCTGTAACTGTGGAAGACCCTCTGTGACCTCGCGCTTGACTGACCACATCCGCTCGACGGCCATAATCCAGTCTTCGTATGTGTCCTTTGTGGGTGCAACTAAATGCAAAGCCTTATACTTCCCCATGGCAGAATAGATAATGGTCAGCCAGCGCTCCTCGTGTTCTGGTTGGACTCGCAATTGCTCGCGATACATTCGGGCCGCCTTTCCTTTTCGAAGCTCTTTAATTTGCTCTACATTGACTATTTGATGAACAAACAAAAATGATACATAGATCGATGGTGAGAGATCCGACAATGAATAATAATAAAAATACACACTTCCTTATTTGATCTCGTTAGGCAATGACAAGAATACTTACTACGCCCAAATTTCCTCGAATCCCACAAAATCCTGCCTTGCTCAATATCCAGCTTGAACAGACGTGAGTGTTGCTTCTTGGCTGAAATTTTGAGCATTTTGGTTCCAGTAGTAGCGAGCTGTCTAACAGTAGCTAACGTGGAGGCAGAGTCACTTGAGGTAACTTTGGTAACCTCCTCCCTCTTTGGCTCGTGAGTATGCGGAAGCGATGGCTTTTGGCTAGAGGTAGAAATAGAAACACAACTCGAGTTTCCATGACTACCATTAGCAGCAGCTGCTGCAAGAGAATCTACAGATGTACTGCTATCTGCAGTGACTTCAGAGGCAACCTTGCGATGAAGAGATTGCGAGTTGGATTGTGGTTCAATATAGTTCATATTTGAAACAGAGGTTGTGGTAGTGGCGCTTGCCACACTTGATCGTGAGAATTGACGATCCAAAGAAGGACGCCCTATTGATGCAGTGTTGATCGGTGGTGTGGTCGCCATGTTAGTCTGTAGATCCTTAAATGATGCATCAGAACCCGTGGACGTCCGACGATGAGTCCTGAGGAAGTGTTCTTGTGAACGATTTGCAGCAGATGATGCACCGCCTCTAGGCCATTGGACCACCGATGAGTCCTGGTTCATCGAACTTAGAGAAGAAGGTTGACCTGCTTGATCAGGCGAGCCCTTGTGAAGACTAGTAGGGCGGGGTATTCTGGCCGATGCTGACTTTGCGATTGTTACCGGCAAAGTTGAAGAGAAGATGATGATATCTTCATCTCGCCCTTGGTGAGTGCTCTCATTTGAGATTTTAGACTCCTGAAAGCTTGAAGTGCGCCGAATAAAGAGTGATTTTGGGGTCGAAGCTAGAGCCAATTCGGCACTATCCGCTGTATTCGAGCCTTGACTTGGCTCGGGCACTTTATTAAGCTCTTCAGGTTGCACAAACGTTGGAAGATAAGCGCCATCCTTTGGAGGCGGAAGTGGCAAAACCTCTGAAGATGGAGGCGATGACTGTTTATAGATCGAATTGCGGAAGCGGGCAGGAAGAGTGTTACGATAGGAGTTTTTTGATTTAAGGCCTGCTTCCTTCTTACCCAAAGAGCTGGCAGGCCGAAGCTGAGGCGAGGACTGAGAGTTTGGAGAATCCTCGCCCCAGTTAGAGATAGCCCGTTTAATCTTGTTAAACATTCCGAGGCAAGACGGATGCTGATAGCTGTTACAATGGATTTCTTTCTATATACAGGGCTGAATTGTTTGGTAAAACCAAAAGAATAAGAGACTAAGATCTAAATGAAAGGAACAGATAACAGAAAGAGAATTGAGTAAAGTGCTGTTGCAGTGGAAAATGATGCAATCAACATTTCCAGTGCTAGGATGTGGATGCATTTGTTGTAGTGTTAGTTTTAAGATGTGTGAAATGTCCCTACCTGTGTGCTGTGCTCTGCCTGTGCGCGCGTGTTCTGTATTCTGTGTTTTGTGTTCTGTGTTCTGTGTTCTGTGTATTCCGTGTGTTCTGTACTCTGTCAAGGTCTGTGGATGTGGATGAAAAAGCTTATGTGGACGCGTCCTTTTTTTAATTCTTAGAACTACGGCAATAAAGCAAGGAGGTCGTTAGAATGAAAGTGAAAGCAGTCGAGCTGCAAGCAAGGAGGATGAAAACAAAGTAAATGAATGGGAAGAAAGGAAAAACAATGGGCAAATGGAATAAAGAAAGGAGACAAAAAAAGCTCACAAAAGGCGCACCGGCTGGTCAATAGCAAGCCGTAGATCCACAAGTCAGAACTCCAAAACTTTTTGTTTCCCTCATTTTTCATTTTTCACCTACAGTATTTGGGCACGATTCCAACAGCATGCTGGATTGATTGACATTCATGTATCCATAACATTCAAAACCTTCAGCAATAACAACAAAAACAACCCTGGGTCATCAAATAACAAATGAATATATTACTACGGCTCTATTGCTACATTTGCCATCTAAAGATATCTCAACCTCGCAGAGCAATTTTTTTTCATAACAATGCGCCTAGACCAAGATAAAACAAAGTAAAGTCATCAACGAGCTCTTGTTGCCTCTTGATTCTATGTCTTATGTGACTTTTCTCTCTTTTTCCTGCCATGTCTTTTTGTGTCAATGATGCGAGAAATGAGAGGTTTAAGGTGAGGACGGAAAAATGAGATAAATCTATTAATATTGTACAAGGTAAACACAGCCTCCGAATGGTTTAAGTCACGTGGGAGGTGGCGCATTGTTTTGTAGTTCAGCATAAAAAAAAAAACTCCCACTTCTCATTTGCTACAGTCCTCTCACACTATCACATAATGTCCAATCAGATTGCTGAGACCCCTGTCGCTGAGGTCGCAGCACCAGCTCCGACGCCCGTTTCCGAAACTGTCGCTCCAGAGACTGAGACTACAGACGGCTCCAAAATTAATGAGAATGCAAGCGATGCCACTGACTTGAGGAGCAATGAGAAGGCCAAGATTCTTAAGCAAGTCGAGTTTTATTTCAGTGACTCAAATCTTCCTCAGGACAAATTTATGACCGAGCTCGTCCGGAAAGCTAAGGATGGCTGTATGTACCCTTTGACTTGCTCTAGCAGCGTAGGGCATTTATGGTCATACTTCTAAATCCAGTCTTTTTTTGTACGAAGGATTAGAGTTGGATGCTTATTTATTGTATAACTCCAACGTCTTTCTCATTTTCTGTATATTGGTATTAGACATCCCTATCTCGCGCATTGCGTCCTTTAAGAGGATGCGTGACTTCAAGGACATGGCATTGATTGTAGAGGCACTTCGTGAGTCAAAGGAATTGTTAGAGGTCAGCGAAGATGGCGAAAAGGTTCGTCGCAAGGCATCCTTCGTTCCATCCAAGGACCATTTCCAGAGAAGCATTTATGCTGTAGGTTTTTTTATTTTTTATTTTTTTATTAGAGAATCACATATGTAAGGACGTATATGGTTATGGACCGCACTCGGTATTATAGTTAACTTCTAGCACTTCAATTTCTGAAAACCCTTTAGAAAGGATTTGGTGAAGAAACTCCTTCCCTTCAATTGGAATTGGAGGAGTACTTTGCATCCCTAGGTGATGTAAAGCAGGTGCGCATGAGACGCAATGCTGAAACCAATGTCTTCAAGGGGTCCGTTTTCGTTGAATATGCCACATTGGATGAGGCTAACAAGGTCGCTTCAACCAAATTGGAATACAATGGAAAGGAGTTGCTCGTCATGACAAAGTAAGCTTGATGGCTTTTTATTAGGCTTATGTAGCCATGTAGTCGTGATTTTCATTCTAGTGCAGAACTCTTTCTTTCAGAGCAGTGTGTCAAATGCCTCGACTTTTCTCAGTCCAGCATACTGTTAGCAAAAAACTCTAGTGATGTATAACTAACTAAATGTAATTATGGTATCATGTGATAGGGCTGCTTATTGCGAAATGAAAGCAAAGGAACTTGGACTAGATCCCAGCGAGATCAGGACCCGCTCTCAAAACAAAGGATTCTCTGACAGCAAGAAGAGGCCAAGGGAAGAAGAGAAACCAGAAACAATTGATGATGTCAAAAACAAAGTCATCAAGTTGTCTGGTCTCACTGCTGGTGAAAATGCTGGCCTCAAGGAGATTAAAGACAGTCTCAAGGAACATTTCCGTTTTGGATACGTACATTGGCCTAGAGATTCTAATGTGGTAGAAGTCCAGATCAAGAGTGAAGATTTGGATGCTGCAAAAGTTGTTGCTGACTTGCAGAGTAAGAACTTTGAGTTCAACGGAATCAAGCCTGAGATTACGGCTGCCACAGAGGAGGAAGCACAGAAGTTTTTAGATGAGAAGAAAGCCTGGGAAGCTAACATGGCCTCACGCGACAACTCCCGCCGTGGAGGCCGCGGTGGCCGTGGTGGTCGTGGAGGGCGTGGGGGTCGCGGCCATGACCGTAAGAAAATCCGTACTCGCGACGATTAGGATAGATGCATTTTGTATTGTATTGTTACATTTTCAAATGAAGGTCAATTGTACGCTGTGGCTGTGCCTCACTTTGTCAAATACAGAAATACAGGGGTGCACATTTTTGGTAATTGTTTTGCCACCAATTCAAGTATAAACAAAGATTTTTTTTTTTTTTTCAATGGTCAACGAAAGGCGACGCTTCTGCACCTGTCCGTTCCCGTCAACTGAACGACTGTTTGTCATCGTCATCACTCTATTCCAATCAATCTGACTGTATTTCATCTTTGAAATACCAAATTGCCCCAAATAATCATTTATTATTGCCTTTAACATCGACACATTCATTGCAGTTTCCATCATGACGTCGCCGCCAAAAAGAAAGAGTGCATCTAAGAGTCCACCCATTCTCCCTGCAGAGTTTCTTACTCCTGGACCATCAGGCATGCCTGCTCCTCCTGTACCTTCGCCTCATCCAGGCACTACTCGTAAGGCTTCTAGCAACAGCGATATAGGCATTCTCAAGCCATCGGGCCAGGTCTCACAAAATGATGACAGACTTTCGCACCTGCCTACCCTTCAACATGGACAGAATAGTGGTAGTGAAAGCAGTGGAAGCGCACAACAAAGTCACTCTATTACAGAGACGCCTTATTTAGATGATTCACCAGTAGAATATACTGCAGGTAAGCTGAACTCAATTCAATACCGATGTATTTTTTTCATCATGTCGCACCCACGTTTTACATTGATAGATACCTATAGCTTATTAAATACTCACTAAATTTAATACTACAGGGCATCAGCTCAGTCAAAAGTCATCTACCAGCGGCTCGGTACGAGGCGAGACAAGGCCTGCGCGATACACTCAATATCACCATGAGGCTGAGTCCCAGTCGATGGACCTGCTTTCCGTTCAAGAGGGCAGCGCATCTGGCCACGATAATACACAAGAAATGAGCTTTGTTCATTCTGAGGTTTCCCATATCTTCAATGCGTCGGACGAATCAGGAAGTAGCAAGGCAAACAATAGTTTTGGTACAAACACCAGTGGTTCAAGCAACAGTCGCACGTCAGACTCACAAGCTTCTGACATCAGTTTCACGAATGCAGAAACGTCCACTCCTCGACGTACACCCATTCCTGCCGTCCCCTCTCAAAAATCGACAGTCTCGGACTCGGATCAAAACCCTTCATCTTCATCATCTCAGCTCTCCCCTACGAGGATTATTTCGGCCTCGGTTCAGCATCGACATCGACAAGTATCCGTAGCATTAATCGAAACTCAAAGTCAAGACCAAGGCCCGAGCTCTGTCAGACCAATCTCTACAATCCCAGAAGATGATGTCTTAAAGATCTCTGATGACAACACGCAGCAGGGCTTAGGTGATGATGCCTTAAAGATCCCTGATGACAGCACGCAGCTGGGCTTTGGTGATGACATTTCATCAGAGGAAGTGGAAGCGGCCTTCGTTGAAGTGCAAGGTGATACAAACGCAACTCAAGATTTTTGCAACCCAGAATCGGTTTCTGTTAAATTGGAAGGCGATACTCAAGACCTGGCTTCGCAAGATATCCTTAGTGCAAAGGAACCGCCGCCACCGCCTGCTAAGCACAAAAAGCGTGGCGACAGAAGGACTAAAGGATCCCATGTAAATACGTCGCTGGACTCGACTGAACAAAATTACGAATTCTTGAGCAGTGATGATGACGAGGCTAGCCGATCGACATTGGATAACCGACTTGACCTTAATATGTCACAGTCGATAGCCCAAAGTGATCACTCTGTACAGTCGCGGTCACTGTCATCACGATCTCAACGCGTTTCAGTTACGACAACCTCTACTACAGTATCGGTTTCTTCAACGACGAACCAAAAAGAGAAAAGCGCAGATGTTAATACTAATATTACCCCTCAAAATAACTCTGCCGAACATTCTGTGGAATCTGTACTGGAGACACAGGAAATACCGGAGTCTGCTAGCCAACAGGTGCAGAGGTCTTTTAATGTCCGTCCCTCAAAGTCACCACGTTCTCGACCGACAACTAAGCTGCCTTCTCCACGCCGAAGTCGCTCTGATCGATCCACACCTTCCGAAACGACTGACGCACAGGCGCTGCCTTCCTCGCAATCTAGTGATACGTCACAATCGTCGCAGGATCCAATCCTTTCACGCCTGAGATCAGCTGCATCCCAAGAGACCGGAGTCGAGCCCGTCTTCTCTGCCGTACCAAAACGCCGAAGAATCAGATCCGTTGAGGCAAATGCTGTTCAAGTGACTACATCTGTAGGCGATGAGGAATTCTGGAGCTCAGATCCCTATGATTCATCGAGCAAAGATCGTAATCAGCGGTCGCGCTCCCCATCTCAGGAGATCTTTTCTCTCCCCCATGGAGAGGAAGAAGAGAAGGGGCAGGAGGAGGAGGAGGACTTATTTCCTCTAGGGTCCCGGCATGGGCATAGTTCCCAATCAGAAGATGAAGGACCTTCTAGCCCTGGGAAAAAAGGGAGCCCAAGAGGATCCAGATCATCTCGCAAGCTCCCCACAACTAGAACAATCCAAACGCGTGATCTTCGTCGGAGAAGTGCCTCTCAAGCGTCTGGATCCACTACCACGCCGACCATGCGACGACTTCGCTCCTCAGCTACTGAGGTTTTGCGCGCATATAAGGCCAACGCGGCAGTTTGGGCTCTTTGGCAAAAATCTAGATCTAAATCCTATTATGCGGGCAGAGTAATCCAAAAGAAATCTGAGAACAAGCATATCGTTCGTTTTATAGATAATTACGAGCAGGAGTGCAAAAGTTCAGATATGAGGCCTCTCATGCTCAAGCTTGGTGTTAATGTGACTGTCAACATTAAAGAAAGCAAGGAATATCCCGCTACAGTTGAAGGTTTTCAGATAAATCCAGAGGAAATCGAAGAGGCGCGTGTTGATGTCCGATATGGCGACGATCTCGAAGCCACTGTTCGGCTACATCAAATCAGTATGACGCAGAGCCAGCTTGAAGATGCAGATAATATGATAGAATGGGATGAAGAAAGTGTTGGGCTTTCAAGCGAGACCGAACCCTCGACTTCATCGTCGACTCCACCTGGTACTCCGCGTAAAGGCAAGAGCATAGCACAACTGGGAAGGGATGATGCAGGACCATCTACCCCAAGCCGCCGTGGCAAGAAAGCAACCCCACAAGCTGGACCACAGACCCCAAGTCGTAGAACACAAGGCATGCTGCGATATTAGCTTTGGATTCCTCGTATTGCTCTAAGATCTGAATACTAATTGAGCATCCTTCTTTTTTTTTTTTTTTTTACTGATTCGCTGCCTTGCGCTGTTATAGATCTGTTCAAGGGTTTTTATTTTGTTCTGTCAGTGAGTTTCGGTCAGAAACGAGCTGCGGGTTAGATTACTGATTACATTGTTTTTAACTATAAGGATAAACAACAGCATGGGGCACACAACTTATCTATGTTATCAATCTATCTTTCGAACATTACTTCAATTAGAGAAAGAGCTTACAAAGAAAATTAACAAAATGGGTGGCACCGTCTTGGAGGGCTTTGGGGCTTTTGTAGACACCCCACGTGCTGAGCTACCAGCAAACCTGCTTCTTATTGCAATGAAAAACATTAAAACCTCAAAGTATGTTCAGGCTTTGGCTTTGGGCGTCCCTCGTCTTTCCAATCGCTGGATCGATAGCTGTTATGAAGCGGTAAGTTCTATTAGATCAATAGCTATTGCTGTGTCTATTATATCATTTCAAAGATACTCAAGCCATGGCAATTGCCTTTTTCGCTGTTCATAGCATCAAGTATTGTCATATCAGCCGTATCTCCTCCCGACTGGAATGTCTGAAGAACTCGAAACTATCGTCTCAAGCACACCTCCCCATAATCGAGGGATATTTTGTGGTTTAGTGATCGGTCTTTGTGGTTCCTTTGCATTCAAGGTAACTTTTCCCTGTCCGCTATACTGAGCTGTATTATGATATAGGTCCGATCTGCCTACTAAGGTTTTTTTGCTTTTGCTCTTGGCTCTAGGAGGACACAAAAACTACACTCAAGTTGGCAGGTGCCAAGGTGAAAGCTGTGACGCCTAAGAGTGGCCCACAGGACTGTAACTACATTATATTCTATAACCTCTCGTCTCACGAGAACTATTGCAAGGTCAATACCCCTGTCCCTAAGCTATCCCACGAATGGCTTACCCAGTGTTTAATCAATCAGCGAATCGTATCTATTTATGCACATCCGAGCTATAGAGAGTTCAAGAATTATAGTATACCGACTGCTTAAAACAGCACATTTAACAGCACATATTTATATACCGTTGAGAATGGTGTAAAGTGGATAAATAAATAAATATTAAGGTTTTATGATTGCTTGTCTTACAAAGGTTGATAATGAAGACTTAATTGACCTAATACATTTATTTAATGTGGGTACTTTGGGAATGCTGATCTATAATGTTTAAAAAAAAAAAAAAAAAAAAAAAAAAAATTCTTCACTAGTTAAGGATGGGGGGCCATGGTGCACGCTTCGGTTCATACGCGATCCACCCTTCCGGCTTAGGAATCGAGGCGTCATATCTGAACGCATTTTCAGAGTCATCCTTATGTTGCTTCAAGCAGTGTTCTCTTGTGGAATCACGTCTCGCGGAGCTTGATTGGCAGTAATTGCAGATGTAAGGTTTATAGTCAGGATAGTGTGTGTCTCTGTGGCGCTTCACTGGATCAGAGCGGGCACTGTGATAATCGCATGTAGGGAAATTACAGAAATAATGATAGGTGATAGGCTGATCATTGTGGGTCTGTTGATACTGCTTCTGCTGCTGTTGCTGCAGTTGCATTGCATTCGAGCCTACAATGGGGTTGCCATGAACATCCACTGCCACGGAGGGTAAGTTAGTACCAGAATAAGAAGACTCTGAATCTGAATCCTCAAAAAGAGACGTGTCACGAGTTTGGAGGAGTTGATGGTTGTTATAAACAAGCATATTGGAGGGGGTACAAGACGAGTCCATGGTAGCAAAGATTGAGCCTGGTGTGTAGTAAAAATTCATTTTTTTACAGAGAAAAGGTAAGATGTTAGAGATCCTTTCGCGTTGACGATCGATAAAGTTAATCTTATGTTTTGTTCTGTTTTTTGTTTTTTTTTTTCTCATTCACAAACTACCGATTACCTTCTATATAAAAGAAGAGATGGTTCTTGAGAAGTAATATACTGCTTGATATAGAGTGCTCTGGTTCTGCCTTAGCTACTTGAGATCTGTTTATAGAGCAATAATGGAAATAGAAAAAAACCAGTAGGATGGAATGTTAGGGAGAGACGATTAGAAGTTTGATCCAGCAACGATATATTGGATGTGATGTAGAGACTATCTATATGTATCTATGCTGTAAAAGAGCACGAGGAGTTATGTCTGAAGGGGTCTAGAGCAATATGCAAAAAAAAAAAAAAAAAAAAAAAATCCTAGGAAAGACTACAAGGCTACATGATGGGGTTTGGAGCCCAATTTGATTGTCTCTTCAGATCTGGCAAGGCATCGATCGAAGATGGGATCTTTGCGGTTCGCTCAGGGGGTGAATTATAGAAAATAATAACAATAACTTTAACAGTAGTAATAATTATAGCGATACCAAAGAGTAAGGGCAGAAATTAGGCAGGAGGAATAGGAATAGGAAAAGAAGTGTTTTGCTCTGCTTTACCTAACAGACAGATATTCTTTTGAATGCACAAGTCGCAGATTGCTCAAAGGGGGGGGGGAGAAGGGAAAATAAAATAATAAGTAAATGCGAGTTGTGAGAACGAGATTGTTATATGCAGAAGGAAGTGAATAGTGCTTTTTTTCTCTTTTTTCTTGTCAGTAAAAGGACTTATGCTGATGATGATAACCTGCCAACGAATAACCAAAGTAAAGTGAAGATATAAAGGAAATAAGAATTTGAGAAATGAGGCACGATGAGGACATAATATTTATATCAGAAAAGTGGATACCCGACACAAAAGATCCAACCCTTGATTCGAATACGTTGAGCTGTACCTGAACTATTAGATCAATCGCCTCTCTATCTTTTCTGCCGGTGGTTGGCGATCAAAAAAAATATACTGTTTTACTTGATGCTCATTGCAACTTGGCCAGATCCCTGTATGTTGTACAGCTGCATAGAGGGATATTCAAACTGCCGTTATGTCCTTGGGCTATGGAGCGTCTATACAGTGATGGCTGAAAGTGATAGGTAATTGATGAATAGATCGCAGAAAACGAGGGGAAGCACGCCGTAATCATAAAATAGGGAGCAAATTATAATTTTGTTTACTTTCTATTAAATAGAACTACTTACTACACCGGAAATGAAGAAGGCAAAAAAGAGGGGGAAAGGGAAAAAAATGAGAGAAAAAAGACTATACACTTCCTTACAATGCAGAGGAGAAGGCAAGAAAAAAATATAAAAAAATAAAGACTAACACTGCTTAATGCTTAATGATGTTTAATGGCTAGAATAATTTAACAATAGTGGCAGAGGGACAAAATGAGGGAAAGAAAATGTCGCTAAACAGATCATGGATGATACACTTTAGGATGATGTAGTTCGGACTAAGCATAAGCGATAGAGGGGAGGGGAAGAGAGGGAAAGGGTTAAAGAGAGCAAAGGCAAGAGTAAATGAATGGATCTCAGGTTGGTTTACACTCCGTTAACGGACGGATGGAGGGATCAATGGAGAAATCTAACAGGTCAGGTAATCAAAGGTGTGCTCTGTGCGCGAATACAAAAAAAAAAAAAAAAAAAAAAAAAGACATAATGAGGGTGCACAAAGCAACAAAAGCATTACAAACATTTTTATTTTCGCATTTTATTTTCAGATCTCAGGGATGAAAATGTACATCTTGTAGATGTAATGCGTTGGTCGTACAAACAAAACAACAAACGATAACGGTTAGAAATCGAAGAACTACACTACACAAGGAACTATATACAATACTACATACTACAAAAGTGCAGACATTCAAAGGTTAGAACTTTACATTAGGTTTAGACTTTGTCGCATTTGCGCAAGTTGCTCAATAACCATTGAAAAGCCATTGCAGTCTCTATAGCTCATTCCATCATCCTCTTCCTTTCCTTCTCCACCCTCTTTGCTTACAACAACCTTCAACTGGTTCTTTTGATACTTGCTTCTTTGCTTTACTCTCACCTTCTCTTTTCTTTTGCTTTCTCTGACTAGAAAGGGCGAAGGACGTGATTCGACTCAGTATCAGATTATCAATCTCCTCCTCTTCCTTCTCCATTTCCTCTTCTTTTCCAATTGCATCCTTATTCCACTCTCCTTAAAGCAGTCGCCGTTACTGGATCATGTTCACATTTTTATATTTTAACCACCTTAACCCCCTTTTTTTTTTTTTTTTTCAATTGAGGAATACACATTTATAATTTTTTTTTTTTCCCTCGGTGAGCCTCTTGTATGACAAGATTCTTGTAGACCCTTTTATCCCTATTTTATGTTACCTTTAGCTACCTATGGTAATGGTCATTGATGCAGACAAAGTTAATGTGGTTAGATCGTTTCTCTTGTAATTCCTGTTACCATCACTGATACTATTACTAGCGTTTTACCACCCTACTTCAGATTTAGAAAAGCATAGACCTGAATGTTCAGCGGTACAGATGCAATGACTTTCATGAGGCGAAGATATACTATAACTCTGATTTTACCAGGTGCCCCAGTCCGAGCCTAGTCGACGATTGTCGGCAAACCACTTAGTCTATTCAATCCTCCCTTCCGCTCTCTTTCCACCCCCCTTGATGCGCATGTTTCTTTGTCCTCTATATTGTACATAATCGCTGTATAAAAAAAATAAAATAAATAAATAAAAAAGCTCGGTAACTCCTCACTTGCGCCGGCCCCTCCCCTCTTCGCCCCGAAATTATACAAGCATGCAGGGGGCAATGGCAAAAAATAAAAAAGAAAGAAAGAAAAAAAAAGAAAGAAAGAGAGAAATCCAGGTACGGAGCAAAATGCTTTATGAGTTGTGTTCGGGCCTAGTACCTTGAAGTCACAGGAAGACATTTGTATAACAAAGGCAAATTGGAATTTGCATAGGAGCATGATAAACGATGCATCTGTTTGGGCCCGTAGTTGCCTTTTGCCGCTGACGCTGATATCAATTCAAGCGAGTCATATATGCTCTTTTTTTATTATAATTCTGCGGCCAGGGTTGAGGAGAGGCAGTTTACGACGCGATGCGCCCAAGGGGGTTGTATATCCATTATACAAGCCAATTGGTCCACCTCTTGGCTCCTTTCATCTAATATTTCCCCAATGCAGTGGCCATCACAGCTCTTCATCGATATTCCTTTATCGCGTTTCAAAATTGGTCGGTAAAGTCTATTTCGAACAGAACATTGCCAAAAGAAAAGAAAAGAAAAGAAGGAAAGATCTGTTATCTGGATCGCGTCTGGGTTAAGGGATCCTTCCATGCCTTCAACGCTATATTTACCATGTACTGTGCTGTCCATGGCCTCCTATTTCCTCCGCCAAGGCATCAAGGTTGGCTCCAAACCTTGCATACTAAGCTTTTAAGGAATAAATGACATGGATGCTTTTTATTGCTCATACGCCTTGAAGCGAATGGATCTTTTTTTTTTTTTTTTTTTTTTTTTTTTTTTTTTCGAAGCTTTAATCTCTATTGTTCCCTCCCTGCTCCCTAATTCATTCACTTCCTTGGCCTAACAAACTATTTTGTATTCATTATCCGATGATTCGAAAAGAAGGAAAAAAAAAAAAAAAAAAATCCTCCGTTGACTCCTTTTTAGGATAATAAGGAGCTGGACGGAAAAACCCGTCATGTTTGCTTACTCAATACTCATCCAGGGCCTGTGCATTGACAAACAAGAAACGAAAAAAAGATACCAGTCTTTAAGCAGGCATGATAATATACAGAAGTCTTTCTAGAATCAAGTCCTTTTCGATAGAGAGGCTTTATATTAGGTTAACTATAGAATATCAACTATCCTTAAACCGCGCAAAACTCTTCCATTTCTTGACCTAATCACTCATAAATCTTCTATTATTGCTACTGTCGTTGCCGCTGTTATTTTTCGCGGGAGGCCTTTAGGGCGATTATTTTGGGTTTATACGACACTGACATAAAGATCAACACCCTTTTACAGAACTGACAGTGGGTTTGGATAAATGACTAGCGTGTTACTTTCATTAACATATAACCTCATATTATCGTAGACTGCATACTTTAAGTGATACTAGAAATATTTCAAGCGAAGCAGCACTGTTAGGTTCTTTCATTGAGCATCATTGGGCCATATCAAAAGAATCTATTATTTATAAACATTTATGAAATATATAGCAGATGTAAAACGCGTCGCGATGAACTATATGGTACAGCCCGTTCCATTTGGTCGCGATCCCTTATATTTTTTGAATACTCTTAAATGTATTGGCAACCAATTGACTCACTTGTTATTGCAAGTGGTGTGGCTGGTCATTAAAATTAATTTCAGTTTATTTTGAATCTACTAATCTGTCGAACCAGCCTAAAGGAATCTTTGCGCAAAGCCTTTGTAGTCATAGGCGGGTCCGCCTCACCTAGAAACTACCGAGTATAAAAGCCAAAGAAACTTCCTTCTTAATAAAGTCTTCAGTTTTCCCCATATGTCTTATTCTTCACCTGCAGTTCATCTTGCCATTTATCTTTTTCCCCTTTTCACAACAAGCATTTATCTTCCGGTAACTCAGTTTGTGAGCTCACCTATAAAGCTCCCATCTTTTCTTTTGACATTCTATGGCGCTGTTTGTAGTCAAGGTTATTTGACTCTATTTTCTCTTGTCAATCTTGTTGACACTCTTTGTCCTGCCTTTTCCTGATTGTGTCTATCTTTCTGTCCCTTAAGCAAAGATATTTTTTACAACAATGCCACCAAACCAATTTATTATGATTAAGATATGTGGGGTCTATATGTTGTCTAAATAGTCTTCCCCATAAAAAAACACCATCTAGACCAAGCATAGAAATAAAGAGATTAGTCAAGAAAGCACTGTCAA